CTTTTTGAAAAGCTTAAAACAAAGATGAAATACAAGAGCATTTAGTCCCATCTGCTGGAAACCCTAGCCATAATCCATTCTTGGTGTGCAGAATGATGGAGATAGCAGGAACAACAGGCTTCTTCTAACACATTGATACGATAATTAGATCATAGCCGATGCCACGGTTTTCATCATAACAAACGCCACCTCTTTCCTAGGCAAATCCTTGGCCCTGCATTGAAAGATAAGAACTTGAATGATGGCTCGTGTTAATCCCTCCTCCCTCTGTAATCCATCTTTCGGGCTTGAATTCCAATGCATCTTCACCCCATATTGCCTTCATTCTTGCCATGGAATACAAGTTAAACATGATTTTCGTCTTCGGATGAACTCGATGCCCTGGGAAGAACATCCGGCCTTAATGGTTCCTTGAGCTGAAAAGGAACAGGAGGTACAGCCTTATTGCTTCACACATGCACCATGTAAATAAACTAGATTTTCACCTCTTCGGCGTGGAATAATCGCCTTTTTCGGGTTTCTTTTGCTGGTATTTTCGATTGAAGCTCTGTATGATATTGTTTTCCACTTCGGGATGCTTTGAAACTAGCCAGATGAACCAAGTAAGAGCCGAGCTTGTTGTGTCCCTCCCTGCAATCATGTTCAAAATGTCTCTCAAGAACTTGTCGTCACATTTCAAACCTGTCGATTTCTCTTCAGTTATGTATGATGCTAAAAGATCAACACCCTCTATTTGATTTTCAAGTTCAAGTTGTTTCCTTTTTTGGCTTATATATTTAGCTATTACATCATCAAGAACTTGCCATGCTATTCTATATTTATTCTCTTGCCCCATGTTGAGCCATTTCTGCAACTTGATGAAGCTTCGAGGCCTCACATGCCGATAAAACAACGCTTCTTCGGCTTCATCCAGGGCCTTGGAGAAGCGGACTTCGGGGAAGTCGATAGAGAGGCATTCGGGGTTGTTGCCGGTGACTAAGATGCACGTGAAATCAAATGTAAACCTTTGGAAAACATCTTCCAAGTCGACCACCAGGCCAAATTTGGCGACGTGTTCGAGAACCGGAATCAGACCATTTTCCACCTTGGTTCGAGTCGCCGTCGACAATAACCGGTTTAAAAGCGGGTGTCTGATGAACCCTTGAGCCAATTTCCTCTGGTATTTCCACAGATCCATGTCGGCGTTGAAAATCCCATCCCCGAGGATGTCGAATATCTCTTTGTAATCGGATCCTTTGGGGAAGTTTCGAAAGTTTGAAATCATTACGTGGTGAATGTTGGCCGGATCGCAGGTTAACACGAAGTTCATATCGGAGAACCAAGGACCAACGAAAAGAAGTGCAGTGGCATCTTTGGAGAATCTCAGTGCACCAATCGTGAACACGATGAACGTTGAGCAAGAGCTGCGGCATCATTCCGACCACCGGGAAAGTTATTGGCTGCCCCTCCTTAGAATTACTCAAGCAGCTGAGAATTAGAAAGCAAATGAAAGCCACTAAAACTTCAAAAATACCCACCAACGCCATGAATTTGGAAGCCTGTAAAGTTTGTTTTACTTCTTGAACATTTAGAAGCAGTAGTTATTATTTGGCAGTTTATTCTATTCCTTGAATATTTCAAGTTAGTTGAGTTGAGTTAATACTTTGATAGTGTATCTAGTGAGTTCTATATTATGCTCATTTAACTCCTTTGTATGAATATTTCAAATTATTCATTATGTTATTTTTATGTATTATTTTAATTCTATTTGTTTATCATATTTTTAGTGTAATCATAATATGTTTAAAATTATTAGCTTGTTGTACTTTTGTTAAATGTCCGCATATTATTTTCATGCTTTAAGGTTGAGTATCTTCGGACAAAGAGTCTTAAACGCTCGACGTCTTTTGAGAAGTTGCAATTTCTTGATATAACTTATAACAGGCTCATGTGGCTATCATAACTAATCTAGTGTCAACTGATCATATCTACATAGTCTGTCAACCTACTGGCAGCCATAATACTTCATAGTATCATACCAAGAGTCATTATAAAATCTCTCAATGAAGACCGAGAGAAGGGATTGAACCACATCTCCCTCATTCATATCCTTTCTATTACTTATTCAGACGTAATACTTTGACGTTGACCAACGAATGTTTAATCACCAATTAGTCTCTTTACTCAAACCAAAGGTGAACTGTCTATAGTCACCATAACTCATTGTTTCCATCAACAATTGGTGCAATGACCGTAGAACACCTCTATCATAAAAGAATTAGTGAAATCCACCCCCAAAAGAAAAATAACAAATTCATCTCCCTCGTCTTCCTAACATCTTCCCGATGTACTTCATCATTTCTGGTCGATGTCTGCAAAAAGGATCTGCAGAGCTTGCATGAAGGTCGAAGATCCCTCGTTAGACAATGGAGACAATATGACATTCTCTATTTACTTGGGTCACTCTTTCTACGAGTGCGGGCAAATCGAATTAATAAAACGATCACAAGATCTGTTGAGCTCGTTCGCCAAGAAGCGACGGGCGTCGCTACCATGAATACTCACCACGATGGCACCAGGTGTAGCATCGACAGAGGATCAATAGCATGGATAAATGAGCTCCCCCATAAGCATGTAGCGAATCACGTATGGGAAAGTGACGCCCACTATTGATGGAAAAATGACGATTAAATAAGACAGGAAAAAAAAACAAAAAAGGATCACAATTCTAGTTTACCCTCTAATTTTTCAGACGATATCCGAGAAACAGCCTCATTAAATTGAGCATTTAAAAAATTAACTGCTTTCTGAACCCTATCTAATTTTCTCGTGTGCTTGTACGGTTGCTTTATTATTCTCTGAGTGGGGCAGCGTTAAAATGTCTAGGAACTTGAAGAAGAAAAAGAAGAAACAGTAAGAATGGTAAAAAATAGGGAAACTAATAAGAAGAAACCATTAATGTAAAAAACGAATTCACATCTGAACTCTTCTTGCAATTCTAAAAATAATTTTGCTGATGAGAAAAATTAGCTAGGACTATGGTTGATGGCTCACTCTTTCTGATTTGATTAGAAAATTACGGTCTGCGACTATTTAATGGAGAGGAGGAGATAGGTAGACGAGCTAAAGAATATATTACGATAAATCATATTGTTTAAAAGTACGATATGTAAAATGTGTTTTATCTTAAAGCTATCAAGCGATTTCGGTAGTTAAAAAAATATTACTCTTTTTTTTTTGAACAATTACGCCTGTAAGGTGTATGTACGTTATTAATTATTAAAAAATATTTTGAACAAATGATAACTTATAATCACATCAAATTATTCATAAAAATGTATCTTATATTATATGACAATTTTAATCACAATAAAACATTTTATTAGTTAAAAATAAAAGACATTATTAATGTAAAATATTCTTTAAAATGTGTAATCTGTCGCATTTAATCAAAATATACTTCGATTGAAATTAATATTAAAATTTTAAAACACCATTTCATGATATTCGCTTTTCGTAAATTTAAATTTTAAATGTCACGTCAAAAACCTATAATATCATACCACACCTCATTAGTTTTACACACTAAGTTAAAAAAATCATTTGTAGTCATAAAAAGTGTAAGAAAAAAGAGTTTATATTGTTTTTTTCTTATAAGGATAGATTAGTAAATTACATATTTTTCATACATTTTTACATATTAGTTATATTTAATTTTGTTTTTTTTGTAGTATTTTTATATTTCCTGTTTAGTTATTATTATGTATAGTCATTATATGGCTTATTTAGCTATTTAATTTTTTGGTTTATTTTTTATTTTTTGTTTAGTTATTATTTTTATAGCTGTTATATGACTTGCTTAGTTATTTAATCTTTGGTGTATTTTTTTAAAAAATTTATATTTTTTATATGTTATTATTTTCATATGTTTAGCATTTTTTTGTTTAATTATTTATTTTTTAGTTATTTTATTTTTATTAAAGTGAAAGAAATTCTCGCCAAAATTCTTTTATAACTGAGATCAAATTAAAACTCAACCTCACTTGCCATAGACATCAAAACCACGAAAACACCCATCTCTCGCACGCAAATGGAGCTTACATCAATCGATTCCTAATACTAGACAAACTCGAGCCCAATTCACAAAGCATAACGCATACAAGAAGTATTTATAAGACATACGGTACTTAATTTGTCACCCATACAGCTAACGGGCTCGACGTGTGTTGCTCTTGGTAAGGGCATCAACGTCAAAGTTATCCTCTATGTATGTGAATGAATGATACATGCATAGGCTAAAACGCAACCTAATGTCACTTTTAAATAGGGTAGGGACAATGTGATTATTTAAGTATTTGTAATAATAATTTATTAATATATTGAATTTATACATTATTTATGTACTCATTGAGAGATAGAGACAAAAGATGTACACCTTTCATCTTATGCTTGTAGAGTGTACGACCACTATAGTATGTTTCACTCTAATTATGTCTTTCGATCAATGATCGTTTGTGATTGATAAGAACTTATAAAGTAGGTTAGTGTGTGATATCACTTTCTGAAAATGTATCTCTAAATCCTTGAAATCTCAAATTGGAGCTATATTGATGAAGTTCAATCCTTACCTATCAGTGATATTATTTGATTCATCATCAAGTTTGTGTTAGTATCAACATATTTAGGTTCCATCTTAAATAATGTTATTTAGAATTTAAGCTGACATTATTATAAAAAATTACTTAACTGTCACGTCAATATTTTCATTAGTAGTTAACGGTTAGTGACTCGATTGATGTCATTAAATAATAAAGTGACCTGAATAACAAATGTTTTAATTAAGTGATCATAATAGAACCCCTATTATAGTTTAGTGACTATAAAAGTAGTTTACCTACATATTTATATCTTCTACCTTTTTGAAACATTCAGGGAGTGTGCAGAGAAGCAAGGCGAAAACGCCTCCTTTCCTTTAATTAGTAGACGTGAACAAACTTGAAACCACCTACTACAGACTACAAAGCACAAGATCAAATGCAAATATCACTTCTTTTATTTTTCTTTCATTATTACTTTCTTTCCAAAATTTTAAGCAATGAACAAATCAAGAAGATGCTTCACATTGTTGTTTATCCTCCTCTCACATCGAATCCGGCCGGTAATCGGCGAAAGTGAGCAGCAGAAGACCACTAAGGAAGACAAACCATCTCCCTTCCAGTTCGTATCGAACACCATGTCTTGTGAAGAAAGCACATAAAATTCTGTCGAGAAAATCAAAACCATCGTCCATGATTTCCGGTTGCAGTTCACTTCACCCAAGCCAGGGTACGATTCCATGAATTTTCTTCCCTTTTCCTTATCACGCATGCAAGCACATTAACATGTTTGGTTCGTATTTGACAGGGAAGAAGCAGTGATGAAAAACGTCGAAACTAAAAATGGAAATGTCGAAGAAACTGTGAAACCTGCGGCAAAAACTGAGCCAAAGACAGCTAAACCTGCAGCAGAAACCGAGCAGAAGACGGCTAAACCTGCAGCAGAAACTGAGAAGAAGACGGCAGAGAAGGTTGAAGAGGCTTCCTCTGATAAAAAAGAATCCCGTGATGAGCTTTAAACAAAACCCATAAATCGTATCAGTAGAGTTATTTGTTGTTTCATGTTTGTAAGTCGGTTTTTTTTGTTATAAATTTATGATCTTTTTGTAGTCTACGTTTTTGGGTGAACCTTTTAGTATTTAATGTTCCAGTAATCCACCGAAATAAATGATTTCACATCCATTTTCAATGAAGTTTCCTTATAACAGAAATCATGTAGTTACCTATAGAAAGTGACATCCAACAGATCAAGAAACCGAATCCGAGCATTTGCAATCTCCGACTATTTCTAGTAGGACATCGGTGAAACAGACTTGCTTAACTTGCTTAAAAGACCAATGTGCTAAGCATAACTAATATTTTCCATTAGCAGATAAGCACTGCTAGAAGAGTCATTGGTATAGCAATGCCGTGAACCACAAGAAATTCAGATACTTGAATATGCTTAAGCAATTAGCTTACAAACATTAGATAAATGAAGAAACCATATAGTAAAATTCAGCTTCGAAATGGTTCAGATTTTGTCATCCCTAACCATCTATGGAAGATGTGATGAACATCGAAGAGGCAGGCAGCAAAAACGTAGAAAACAAGGTTAAACAACATTTAATCGTCAATTGCAAAGAAAAAATCCATTCCAACAATCACCCAAAATATTGAACTTAAAGTTGACTTGCTAAGGATCACAACTCAGAGACCAACTACTGAAACTGGGATAGCAGTCACTGACTCGCTGTAATTAAAGCATCATATCCTAAACTTTTTGACGTGCAAAATCTACGAGGAAAATGTGCTAATGAGAATTAGAAGCAGAGAGTCTAAGGCATTCACTCTGACACCGACGAAGGCAAATGTCATTCTGATGTTGGTTGACACAAACAGTGCGAGCACAAGCATCGGAGCATACATCGGGCTCAGACACACCGCAGACAGTTACACAAGTGTCGGGAATTGGATCTTTCGAAAACGCCCCAACCTTCTTCAGCATTCTCTTTGAAGTGCAGACTCTCTAACAAACAAAATTTTCGTCGGAACTCTTCTCCCTTTCCCTGGCAGTCTTACTTCTCTGTTCTTCAGCATGCCTTTTCTTCATTCTAAAAGCCTGTCCCGAGATAACTGCAGGGATGGCAGCCCCAAGAACGGACCACCATACTTCCACCATCACAAATTGCAGAAAGTAGGCCCTTTCTTCTTTGCCTATGTCCTCTTCTGCGATCAAAGAGGAAAATACAGCACCATGAACTTATCTTTATTCATTTCTTGATTCTACGTATAGCTCTTAAATTTAGAGGCATTCAACTTTTAACACAGGTAAAAATTCCGGTGCAACACCAATGAAATCTAGGACTTGCAAAGGTAAACAAATGACAAATACTTTCAACCTGCAGTTAGAAAGCCGGATTTTACGTGGCCTACCAGTTAAAGTTACAGTATATTTATCATTCAGTACTTCGAAAGATTGCATACAATATAGCATTACCATAACAACCAACTCAATGTGGCACTAATGGCTTTAGAACATATGGATTTAACATCACAACATCAACCATTTGCTCTTAATACTTATAATATAAAGCAAGCCACTCATCTATTATAGCTAGATTTAAAACTAAATCGAAAGTATATCCAAACAAAGCAACGCACTGCATTAATTAAAGCCAACAGCAATAGAAAGTCTAAGAACCCACTTTATATATTTTTTTCTTCTAATGCATACCAACTAAATGGATAGTTCAATTTCTCAAATACTGCAAAGTGAATTCATATATTGCTGAACGAAAAACTATAACTTTCTTAGACAATTGCATCAACGCAATCCCCAAATAAAGTCTCTTCTTAAAACAAATTAACTCTTTCAGAGAAAGCAAACACCCAAAAGCTTTTAACTTTAGAGCCCAGTCTATATTTTAACCCCAATTCAGCAAAACCCATTTCGTGAAAAGAACAAAAACATCAGATCATGCAGTAACATAATCAAGACACATTGAAAGCACACAGAGATAAAAGTCCGAAACTTTATATAAACAGAGGAAAAGAACGACAAAAATGAATCCAGAAGACAATTTAAACATCAAATTATAACGAATAGATACTCAATACTGGGAGAAAAAATTATGGGTTTTGAGATAAATGAAAGGACTGACCTATGGGACAGGGCTTTCGGGGAAATTCAGCAAAGAGAGCGAACTGTATAATGTGAGGCAATATTGGTGTTTGCATAGAAATAGAGTTTTTAATTAACTGGATTTGGATTTAGTGAGTAATTTGAAAAAATGTAAAGTTTAGTGAACAAAAAAAATTAATCTTTAAAGTTCAGTGAGTAAATTGAAAAGTATTATAGTTCAGTAACCAAAATAAGATAGAAAAGAAAGTTCAGTAGTGATGTATGTAATTTACCCAAAATTTAATTTTTCTTTATTATGATGATTAAAAATTAAATCATTTTAACGTACAAATTATGATCCATAAAATATTTCTCCCGTTCAAAATATGATGGAGAGTCATTTCGGACAATTTTGGATTTTGAGCAAAAAACTTAAATAAACAATTATAAAACGAAAATATATTCTATTATTTTAAATAATTATTTTAATTTTTATTAATAAATCATAGAAAAATTATTAAATTTTGTAAATTACATCTTTCATTGTGGGTATGAATAATATGGAATTTGATTTTGAATAATAAATAAAAAGATGAAGAATGTTATATTATTTTACCGTTAGATTACGACGGAAGAATGTTAAACATTTGATATATTGAAGACCCAAATTTATAAAAGAGAGAAACTTATGATTTGATTTAATATGAAATTGAATGAATTAATAAGAGAGATGGAAGAAGAAGAAGACTGAAAATTAAAAAATTTATAGGATTGAAAAAAATTAAGAACTCTAAGCTACGTAGGTAGAAAGTGGTGCATGAGAAATAGCTCATGGTGCAACCCTTACAATTGGCTCTGCGTGGAAGTTGATTTGTTGATATAGAGCACTCATGAAAAACTAGACATGCACATGACCTAGTGTGAATCACGTTGAACAACAGTAGCATGGTGTAATATCTCCAATTTACATAAATAATTTATTCATAGAAATTTGTTTTATCGATTATTCTGTAAATTATGTTTCGTTCTTTCTAATTCGGGCTCATAGCTCAAAAGATATCAGACTCAATATATTAGATCTAAATTAAAGATATAGATACTCAACAAAACTTTATCCATGATTCTTTTGAAATATAAGGAGGATTGTTATAAATTTTGAAATATTTCAAAAGAATTATATTTCACTTATACAAGCAAAGGAAAGGTTTTAACAAATTATTTTGGATAAGAAATTGAAGTTGTTTTTGAAGGTCGGAACAATAGTTAACTTGTGATGATTTTTCAAATAGGATCTAGACATTTTTGGGTCGAGATGCCTATTTACTTATTAATTGTATGTCAATTACCTTTCTAACATACATTGAAACATCTCAATCAAACATCAAGAACTCAAGATATGTTCATTTTAATAAAGACAACGCATGCAAATAAATTTGGATACGAGTTTAATAAAGAATTTTTAAATTATTATAAAAATTTAATTATTTAATTGATTATTTATAATAAAATTTAGCCTAATAATCAAGTGTGTCCTAAAGTATTCATGTTGAGAGTTATATTAAAAGTAATACAATATTTTATGTATGTTTCAAACTATTTTACTTGCATCTTGATTTATATGTTTATTGCATTATTTCCAACAAGTATATAGCTAATATGTGTATAAAAATTCATTATTTAACCACAGTACCTTGAGTGCACCACTAGTTGCACAACATGGCACGAAAATGTTTGGCTATGGTTTGGTTTTGGTCAAAAATTACAAATACAATGAGATCATGATCATGATCACACAAGCACATAGTGTTGCAGTCTACTTCATGTATGAATGGTGATGGCTACTCGCAAATTTAATTTTTCTTTATGGGGGGCGTCCCACTTTCGCTCTCCTTCACCCCGTTTCAATATACTTTGCTACTACCCCAACTATATGATGTGATGCTTTTAATTATTTTCTTCCCTTTTTAAGCGTGATTAATTAAATTGTTCTTTGTTATAATACAAAGTTATCTAACATCGTTTGGAAATGTTTCTCCAAACGAGCTTTTCCAACTCAAAAATAAATTTTTTCAGTTTCTTGGCTTGAGTTAATAATCATTTTTCTTACATTAATTTTTTGATAAAAAATGAGCTGTTTGATAATATTTCTACGTTTCAAACAGAATTTTGGACCAAAACCACCCCTATAAACATTCTCAAATGGGCCCTTAATATATGATGCTTTTTATACAAGGGACGTATGAGGAAGGCCACGGTAGTTCTACTGTGCTGAGAAACTTAAAAGACTAATTTGTGGAGGGTTTAAACTTAAAATATTATTTTATCTATTTTAAAAAGTTACATAATTAGTAATAATTTCAATTCGAGAATATTACAGTACGTCTAGTTTTGACCTAAAATGCTATTCTATCTATTTTAAAATGTTACACAATTGGTAATAATTTGAGTTACAACCGAGAATGTTACATAAATTTCTTAACGGTATTTTGTAGGTTGTTTCCAAAATATTTATGCAATTTACATGATTTGTTATAGAAAATGTAATATTCTTTATTTCAATCTAAAATGTTACTCAATTTACTCTAAAAAATTATGCATGTGGTAAGTTATTCGGGTACAATTGATTGCAAGCTTTTTTAACCTTATATTAGTCGGTTGTATTTTAGATTCCCCTAAAAGTCAATCTAATCACTTAGCATGAAACTTTTGGACATGAAATCATACCAATTATCGAGTTATACCTAAGATTAGGAATGGGTCGAGGGGTTGTATCGTATCCCTTGAAAATTTTTATTTATCATATAATTTAAGTATTTTTTATATTATTTATTGGTAATTTTATTTAGCACTTCCTAAATTTTTTTAATTCCACATCCCCTAAATATAAGTTCATAAATTCACACTCTTAACATAAAAAATTATATTCGTTCTTACTTTAGATCCTATTTATATATATTGAAAATCAAACGAACTACATGATTGCAATAAATATTTTTTTAACT